AGTAACACAGAGTATGTAGATCAGGGAATGACAGCCAGGCCAAGGGGCTAAGGGAAGGCAGAGTGTGGGGAGCTGGCACACTGCGACAGGAAAGCCTGATGCTTTGTGGGGTGAAAAGAAGTAAATGTCTTCAAGGTGCTTTGAGTTAAAGATGTCCCAGAGATACTAGAATTAGTATCAAATACAGAGGCAAATTAATCTTATAGACATTGATGGGTCTAAGTTTGGAGGAGTGTCTGCTGGGCTGTAGAATTGGTACAGAGAAACTACTGCCTTCCAGAGACTAGTAATCGTAAGTGCCTTGGATTCAGGATGCAGGGGGCTGAGGACTTTGGGAACTCCTGGACAAGTCAGGGCAGGCAACCTGGAGGCTCTACTGGAAGAGCCCTGGAAACCCAGTTTCTGGGTGAAATAGATTAAGAGATGGCCTGGACCTCAGATCCTGTGCCCTAGGGAGATACATTCACTGGAGACAAGGACAGGCAAGCTCTCCCCCTTCTTAATTAAGATGAAGATTCTTCCTGCCTAACCTAGGGCTGGCTGCTTTCTCTCCCTTAGGGCCTATATCCCTGTGGGAGGGAAACAGCCCAGAGAGACTTCCACAGGACTGAATGCCAAGGTGAGCCAAGCCTTTAGAATCTGTTAATGACCTTGAATCTGACACTTTCTGTATTTGTTTCTTTTGCTTATAACGAAATACCTGAAACTGGGTAATTTATAAAGAAATAGAATTTATTTTTTACTGTTTTGGAGGTTGGGAAGCTCAGAGTCCAGGGAGCACGTCTGCTGAGGGCCTTGTTCTTGGTGGTGGCTCTCCTCAGAGATTCAGGGTATCACATGGCGAGAATGGGCTGAGCAAGAGACAGACTAACCATCAAAACCATGCCATGACCATCCATTGAACCATCAGTGATTAATCCATTCATTAGGGTACAGTCCTCACAATCTAATCACTTCCCATCCTCTTAATACTGTTACAATGGAAATTCCAACACATGAACCTTTGGGGGACATATTCAACCCACTACTGACCTTCATGAGAGTGGGGGCTGCATGGAGGAGCCTAGAATTTCGCCTAAGGCCATTGGGGACACTTTGGTGGAACGTCAAAGTATGTGAAAAACTTTGCCAGGGGAAGACAAGAGAGTAGGCAGTAGGCTTCTTCCCCACGAAAGAGAAGAAGCCCTGGAGCTGTGTTGTATAAAGAATGGGTGGAATAAAGCTGGCCAGGTAAAATGGGTTGAGGCAGGCCTTGCTAGGGAGGTTAGGTGAGCTGCGGACATTGCATTGAGTGAAAGAAGCCTACATAGTATATAATTCCATCTACATGAAGTTCAAGAACAGACACAACTAATTGATGGTAATAGTCAAAGTAGTGGTTACTTCTGGGGGATGGATATAGACTGGAAAAAGGTGTGAGGGACTTGATGTGTGCTGGGTGTGCTTGTGACCTTACTCAAAGTGGTGGCTGTGCATGCATATGGATAAGTCCATGAAGTGCGCTGTGCTGTTTGTATTTTATACCTCTATTTATTAAGACTAACTGATGACAGTGTGGTGGGGGAGGAGATTGGAGGCAGGGAAATGAATCAGGAAGAGATTAAAGGAGCTGCAGATGAGGGTCTTAGCTAGGAGTGGCTTCAGTGACTGTATAAACATAGTCCCACAGGACTTTTGAAGATTACATTCCAATATATCTGCTCTCCCAGGGGCTAATTTACTGATGTGTTTTGAAGTTTCACCTCTGTTGTACTTCTGCACCTATTACTCATTTCTAAAAGCCAGCAGTTTTCCGGCTTTAAAAAGAAATCTTGAGAACAATTTGAGTTGAAAGTACTCAACTGTAGAATATTACTGTCAAAGGAATCTATTGCTTTTTTAAATCATTGTAACCATATGTTTAATGCTGTCTCCCATGGAGCAGGAATTAGACATTTTCTGTATGTTCCAAGGGGATAGAAACTTGGGTAGAAGCTTCAGGAATACAGATTTTTGACCTGATATAAGAACTGTCCAAATGCTTTGCCCTGGGAGCTCAGGCTAGCATCCTCTGTGGAGCATCTGCTGTGTGCTGAAGTCTGGGCTAGAGGTTGGGGATAAGAATATAAATAAGACAGAGAGGGTGCCCTCAAAGAGCCTGTTATCTGTTGGGAAGCTGGTGTGTGAGCAAATCTTTAGTACAGTGGCATCCAGCAGCAAGTGAAGGATGTACAAGGACTTGCAGGAGTGCAGAGTGGAGAAAATTGTGACTAGTGGGACCAGGAGAGCTTTTAGGGGATGCCTGAGCAAGATTTTTTGAGAAAGACAAGAGTTTGTGGACAAGTGACTGAAGTGTTGCAGTGGTGGGATGGGGGGGAGGGGTGGAGGGACAGGGCACGGAGGCATGTGAGGATGTCTGTGAGGACCTTGGAGCCATTGGTGTTGGTGGAGCATGAGGTGCTGGGGAGGGCAGCATGAGGGACGGGCTTGGGCAGGGAGACAGGAGAGAGACTAGTGTTGTGGTCTAAGCAAGAGGATGAATTCAGGAGGTGGCTGGAGATACTCAGGTGTGTGCTGAGTGGCTCCTGGCAGGAATGTGGTAGGGTATGCTCAGCATTTGACAGCACTTTGTCTGGAAGACCTTTCAGCCCTCTTGAACCCTGAAATGCCATGCACTTTTTATCTGTATTTAAACAGAGGCAGTGTGTTAGGCGTTCTGAGTTTAAATTCTAGCTCTGCCTCTTTCTTGATGCATGACCTTGGACAAAGACAAGGGACTTAACCTTTCTGAGAATGTCATCTAAAAGATGAGGGTAAAATCTACTGCTTAGAGTATCTAGGAAGATCAAATGAGGAGTGGTAGCTTGGCCTGGCAGAGGGCAGGTACTGAGTACAGGGGAGCTGCTGCTACTGTCATGGACAGTTGGGGTTGGGTGGGTTGCTCAGGGAAGGCCTGTGGAGGTGAGGGCGAATGAAGCCTGCTTTGTAGCTTTTGGTGGGCCCCCACACTGTGAGGGCTGATGCAGAACAGCATCGCCATCTCGGGCTCGCTTCCTGTTAGGGTCTTGAAGCTCCTCATCAAAGTGATGTTCTAGAGCTGTTTAGCGGCTCACACAACAGAAGGTCTTGCCAGCAGGGCTGAAGGGAGAGGCCAGTTATGCCCATCCCTGACAGCATGCTTCTGCAGTTTTTCCTGCCGAGCTAGTGGCTCCGCTATATTTGGAAGTGTGATGAAAGTCCTTATTACCAGACTCCTCCGTGGTTTTAGTTATTTTCAGGTTAAGTTCAGAGGTCTTCCACAGGGATGCCCTCAGCAGACATGGGAGGTCCTGAAATGCAGAGAAGGAGGTGTTCTGTCTAGGCCATGAGCAGGTAAACGTGGGGAGCTTTCTTCTCTTTTAAGAAGATGGTCCTTCAGTATAGGAAAAGGTGCTTAAGCTGTTTCTCCTCCTGCCCTCCCCCCACTTATTTTTTTCTGTTTTTTTAAAATCACAAAACAACTAATTCCATTTATTGATGCAAACGTTTTACGTATTTTTATCAGTTCTCTTTTATTACAGGATGACTGACACTATTTCACACTATTTTTTAGATACATAAGTTACATATTATTCTTTATGCACTACATACATAAGTGAACATATACATCTTAGCCCTTTAAAGAATGCCATTTCCTAATATTTTAGCACATGACAGTATTGCATGGATTCAGTCACAGTGGAATCAGTGATCATTTATATAGTGGGAAAATATGCATATAAAATCTTTTGTACTTTGACAGTTCTTCACACTACAGTTGTCATTTCTTTTTTAAAAAGCAAATGGACCGAAGTATGCTTTTTGGTTCTGCCTTGAGATTGAGTGTAATTCACTGGTCTGAGGCTTCATGGAGTATGCCATGTGGTGGTTTGTTATCAGTTAGATTGTGGAGTGCTTTGGTAGCTTCTTGTCCGGACACTTTTTCTCCATCTTCATGGATTGTCATTCTAATGTGCTTCTCTTTAGGGGATCAGATCCAATTTCCTCTGGCAGCAATTCTAGACCTTTTTGAGGTGGCTGGCTTGCTGGCCTCCCCCCAGAACCCCCTGCCCAGCTGGGGTCCTCTCCTCACTATGCATCCCTCATGCTGCTCCTAGTCTTGTCCTGCCTGTGAGTCATTCTCCCCTTTCTCCATACATCCAAATCCTCACTTCCCATGAGATGTACTGTTATAAAACATTTTCAGACACTAGCCCATAGAGGTCTTCACCCAGAATACCACTAGTGTGTCCTATGTCGTACTCTCTCATTGCTTGAGAAATAGTTTAGTCACTTCTCATGTATCCGACAATATAAGACTCATGGTCAAAGTGCCAGATTGGATGCTAATGGGAGACTGTGTTCAAGCCTAGGGTCTGCCATTGACTTCCCGTGAAACCCTGGCAAGGCACTTTGGCTTTTCTGTGGAACAAATGTAGGAATTGGACTAGCTGTCTAAAGTTTCTTTGAGTTCCAAAATGTCTTTAGCATTTATACAGAAAGTGTAATCTGTTGTGTATGATACGGTTGCTTTTAATGGGAAATTATTCTTTCAAAGCAAAATGAGGAGAGAATATATAAGTCTTTGTGCCCTTATGATTTAAGAGTGTGATGTGTACATAATTTTTTTTTTTCCTTTTTTTTGGTCTTTTTTACTGACCGGTAACAGGATTGCAACTCTCAGTGTTGCGCCCGCACTGCGCTCAGCCAGTGAGCGGGAACCGGTCTCCACATGGGATCCTGTCTTTTTTACTGACCGGTAACAGAATCGCAACTCTCAGTGTTGCGCCCGCACCGCGCTCAGCCAGTGAGCGGGAACCGGTCTCCACATGGGATCCGAACCCTCGGCGGGAGCGCCGCCGCGCTACCAAGCGGCGCACTCTCCAGTGCACCACTGGGCCGGCCCAGACTAAGACACTTCTGTGCCACATTTTATTGCTTGATTTTGTTCTCTGGTAATGTAATTGTTTTCCTTTTGTCTTTTCTTTCTCTTCTCTGTAGTCAGAAAATGGGTAAGAAGAGTCGAGTAAAAACGCAGAAATCTGGCACTGGTGCTACAGCAGCTGTCTCGCCGAAGGAAATCTTGAACCTCACTAGTGAGCTGTTGCAGAGTAAGTCCCTTGTGCGGTATGTGTGCCTTTCATGCCTTTGCGACTCCAGTGGCCCGTGAGGCTCACAGGGATGGGGAAGCGTGGATCAAACAAGGCTGTGTTCATGTCCTGGCTTCTGAGCCATGTGAGCTGGGCAAGTTCCAGAACTTCCCTAACTCGAAATCCACCATCTGTAAAGATGTAGATACTGGCACCTCTTGGAACTGTGTGACTGTTAGTGAGGCTTGGCTGAAATAATGAACATAGGGTTTCTGTAGCACAGCCACTCGGAGCAGAGGCTTCCCTGGGGACTGGTGGCCAGGAACGAACTCGACTACTTTTTAGCGGTGTGGCCTTGGACAAGTTACTGAACCCTTCTGAAGCTTAGGGGTCTTATCGGTAAACTTAGATGATAATTGTTTCAGGGATTTTATGAGGACTACATGAGATTTAGCTGTGAAGGTGTGTCATGGGCTCTTGCCCAAGGCAAGGCCAGCAGTCTCTTAGAGAGCAGACCTGTGGAGCTCTGCCCCTTATCAGAGTGTCTCACCTTTATTTTCAGTGATTCTGACTTTCACATGCTGAAGTTTAAGAGTTCTTGGTTCAAGGACATGAAATACCTGTTAAGTTCCTATACTTGCTTTAGTAAGTTAGTATAATTTGATAACTTTCTAAAATTGTGAATTTAAATTCGTGCTCCCTATGCCTGAAATTGAGCTGTGATCACTCCATTAACCTTTGCTCATTATGTTTAGATTATGTGACACATTAAACCTTAAATAAAAATTTAGCTTTCTCTCCCTGATAGAAAGCAGGCAGCAGCAGCCAAGTTGGGGTCAGGTCCCTCACTGAGTGCTCCCTAGGCCCCTGTAGACCTCTGCAGAGTGAGGCTGTCCTTACCACCCATCACCTGTCTCCCCAAGTAGCCTGCAGGCATCTTTGCAGGCATCTTGAGGAAGCCTCATGTCTTCTTAACCATTGTTTTCCAGGGCTTCCTTGCTGAGGGAGGAAGAAGTAAGACTGGTTAAGCTTAATAATTATGAGTCAATGCATAATTAGTTACTGTTAATTATTTGCTACAAAGACTCTTTTCCTTAAAGAGTAAAAGGGACCAAGAGGTTTAGCAGGAGCATGGGAAGGGGGCTCTCTCTTTAAACTGACATAATTGTTTAAAAAAGAAAGCCCTGCTGATAAGCAGGGTGCCCAGCATGAAGCCTTCCAAAATGCCTGGCCCGTCTTGAGTGTGGGTCTTTTGGTTCTGGCCCTATAGTAGAATCCTAGCTGCTTTTTTAGCAGTGACTATGCCATCTCTTTTTGTAACTCCCCCAGAGTGCTTAATATAGTGCCTTACACATGGATGTGAAATGTTTGTTGACTGATTATCCTTATGTCCAATTTAACAGGTTCCCTAAGAGAGCTATTGTAACTAGAAAGAAATATTGACTTTTTTTTTTTGGTGGCTGGCCCACACGGGGATTCAAACCCTTTGACTTTGTTGTTATAACACTGTGCTCTAACCAGCTGAGCAACCAGCCAGCCTAAATGTTGAATTTTAGTATTCTTTTTACCATCTAGAGGAGTTTTTGGAAAATATTTTGTATTTTAGCTTTTTAGATTTTTTTAAGTGTACTCTGAGGGAAAGTTATCAGAGCAGCAATAGTAAGGTAGATGCAAACTAGGTACTTACACTTGGGTATTGGGTCACAGTTTAGTGAGGGGCATTTTTATGGTTTCAGAGCATTTATGTGCTTTGAAAAGTATACCTGCTATATCTGTGTCACATTTGTTTTCATGGCTGTAATATCTCTGTCCTTTAAAATTAAACCAGCAACAACAGCAATGACAAAATCCAGACCCTCTTTCTTCTGCAGATTAGTAGGTTAAGTGGAAGTAGGCAGGTGTTTCAGTAACTTGGCTGTTATGTTACAGAATGCAGCAGTCCTGCACCTGGCCCAGGAAAAGAATGGGAAGAGTATGTGCAGATCCGGGCTCTTGTGGAAAAAATACGAAAAAAGCAAAAAGGTAAAATTGCCAGAATGATGATCATAATTTAATAATGTCATGTAGAAACTTGGCCTAAGTCAGAAAGGTTTCAAGAGTAGTAAAGTTCTCAGTGTCATTCAATGCCCATCTGAAAGGCTGGTATAGAAGGGGTTCCTGGATTGGGAGAGAGATCATACTGGGAGACTGTTGGGATCTCTCCTGTTTCTGAGATGCTGTTACCTGCTTTGGAAAGGGAAAAGATGTTGAGTTTTAGGGGAAAAAAAAATGTTTGTATCTGGGGACTAAAGTGATACAACTTTTATTTATTTATTTTATGAAATATACACTTAAATCTGTTTTTCATACTGTATTTCCTTTTGGGTTTCAGGACAGTGCATAATATTTTGTATGATCAACACAAAAATATATGCTGATTGGTTAATATATTATTAAATGCTTATGATTAACTCAAGGTTAAGTAAGAGATAGTTATATTTCTTAAGCTGTGTTTTTACAGGGTATATTCAGCAGCCATCTCCATGATTCTCAAGAAGGCTGGCTATGGGCTAAGTGTCAGTTTGAAAAAGCTCATTCAGTATAGCTATTCTTTTTGTTCTGTAAGGCACAAAAAGTAGCGATTGGTGTACAGGGCCATGCAGAAAGTCAAAGGAAAAAACATAAGAGCATGCATTTAAAAGGATGAGAAAAGCCTCCTTCTACTCCCTTTCTTATTGTCATGAAAGGGAGTGAGAAGAGGATTTTTTTGTGGTGTTTTTTTTTGGCAGCTGGCCGGTAAGGGGATCTGAACCTTTGACCTTGGTGTTATTATCACTGCACTCTAACTGATTGAGCTAACTGACTAGCTCCTGTTTTTCATTTTCTATCATAAGTAGTAGTTTTATTGCTCTGCTATAGATATCTATAAACATGTGATCTTTAGCTTAGATGGTCTCAAACCCCCAAATGGAGAGCAGTTTCCTTTATAATGTGTTTATTTGCACTAAATGGTAAACTGTGCTAATCTTATCTCACCAAATAGGCAGCCGAAAAATTTTTGTATATCCTGAGTTTTTTTCCTGAGTGGATACAGTTTACTATAACTGACACTAAAGTTAGAGCATTCATTAGTTCTCCATGAGTGAAGAGTAAAGTCTTAGAATATCCCTAACTCAAGTCATTCTTCTTTACTTTTCAAATTATCTTTCCATATCTAGTGTGGCACAACATTGTGCTAGGCGGTTACCTCTTCACAGCTCTGTTGACTGTTATATTGTGGCGAGATGGCCACAGGCACCTGGGCTGGGTTCCACACCAGTTTCTCATGTTAATAAAGTTCCTTTTTCTCTTCTTTTATTCATCAAAACATAATGGTTTTTCCTATGTCTGAGTTTTCATCTTTTTGAATATCTCAAACATGCTGAAATGTCCAGAAAATAATATAACAGATGCCTGAGAATCTACTACCCAGATTGAGCACATGTCAAAGTATTAGTTCGAGTTCTCCTTAAATTCTTTCCCACCTACCGGTCTTCTTCCCCTTCCCCCCTACTCTCCTTTGTTTTGTTTTTGTATTTGTTTTTAAGAAATAAAACATTACAGATATAGCTAAAGCCCCACTCTTCCATCCCATTCTATTCCCTCCCTCCTCAGGGATATTCATCTTTACTGTATGTGTTTTTCTGCTTCATATATAACCCTATAGGTCTGGCCGGTTAGCTCAGTTGGTTAGAGTGTGCTGTTATAACACCGAGGTCAAGGGTCTGGATCCCCATACCAGCCAGCTGCCCAAAAAAACCCACAAAAACCCCACAAAAAACCAAAAGCAAAAAACCCCATATATAACTCCATAAAAATAAATGGTTGTAATTAGTATTTTAAAAATTTACATTAATGGGGTCAGACCACTTGATTTTTTAAAAAAAATAGTGTTACATTTTGTGTTTTATTTATGTTGATCCATATAGACGTAGCTGTTTAAATTGTGCTATAGTGTTCTTTTTTAAAGCTCTCTGGTTTTGTGCTCTTAGAACCAGGGCTCTGGTGCTCATCCTTACCAATGTCTCCTTGTGCATGAGTGTGAGCTGCTGATTCTTGTTTCAGAGGGAATTTTCTTAAAGCAAATGTGAACATGATGGCATGTTGGACGTTGTAAATCCGTGGTGGTGATAATGAAGGCTTTCCTCCCTCTGTCATTTTGTTACTTAACAGCACCTACTGGTCAATATTCTTTTTACCTAGTATTGTAAATGTTTCTCTGTAACTGACAGAGAGTTTAGGATTTTCATTTGCCTTTCCTGTCACTAGTTAAGGTTTGTACTATGACTATGTGGTGATTAGTTTTGATTATTTCAAGACTAGTCTCAACACTAGAGTGTTAAGACTATTTCCAGTGTTATGGTCTGTTTTTTATTTTCTGAAAGAGATGTAAATGATATGTCCTAAAAGTAGCTCTTGATTTTTAAAACATGGTTCTGTACAGGTCTGTCTGTTACTTTTGATGGAAAAAGAGAAGATTACTTTCCTGATCTAATGAAATGGGCCTCTGAAAATGGGGCTTCTGTCGAGGGCTTTGAAATGACTAACTTCAAAGAAGAAGGCTTTGGTTTGAGAGCAACAAGAGATATCAAGGTGAGTTTATAAAATGTTGCTCTGAGGGGGTCTAAGTATGTTTGAACTGTGGCGTGGTGTAGAGGGCACGGGACTGGAGGTAGATGCCTTGGGCTTGTTCTGAGCCTTGCAGGCAAATGGGCAGTGTGGCCTGACTCTCCTTCCTCTCTGCGGCAGCTGTCTCTTAACTTGGGAGCTGTGCCATTACCCAGTGACTCCAGGCAAGTCAGTTCACATTTCTGAGCCTCCGTAGGGAGACCATAGAACATGCCTCACAAAACTTTGAGATTTAACTAAAGAAAAGGATGTGAACTCCTGGTTTGGAGGGAGAGCACAAGGATCTCGTGACAGATTGGAGGAGGGGATGGGATGGAGGGTGGTGGTGTTGAGGATGCTTTCCAGTGTTCTGGAAGGGGTAACTGAGTGGCTGAAGGTAGCTTACTGCAACGGCAACATGAGAGATGACAGGTAAAGAGGAGAAATCCCAGCCTCTCTCTACCCCTCGTCCAGGCCTCACCTAAAGAGGAGGTGTAACTAATCTGCTGAGTTTGGGAGAAGAAACTGGGCTTGGCCTTTTTCTTGGTGGGAGCTGGTTGCCATGTACGTTTGCTGTGCTCTGCTCTCTCCACCTTGTAGCTTTGCAGGAGCAGGCCCACACTTGGATAGGGCTGCGAGGAACCAGTTCTGCCTGTAACTAGGTGGGGGAGTCTGTCTAATTCTGGGATTCAGTAGGTGATATTTTGGGTGACCATCTGTTGGATTCTTGTCTCTCAGTTGGTTCTGAACTTGGGTGAAGGAAATGGGTATTATTTGTTTGGGCCCCTCAAACCTCCAGTAACATTTTTGATCAAGTTGTAGTTAACCTTTCATTGATACATTGATAAACCATACACTGGTTTATTACATACCTGTTAAATATCTACTAGTAACTTGCTTGATATTATACCATGCTTCTAAAAAACAAAGGGTCTCTTCTTTCCTGGCACTTATAATCAGTAATAAGGGGCAAGACACACAAAAATAATTCAAAGAGTAGACATTAACTGTTTATGACTAATAGACATAAAGGTGAGATGTCACACATTCTTTTCTTGGATCACATGAAAAGCTTCATTAGTGTGGATGCTGCCCAGAATATCTTAACTAAGTTCCTTCGTTCCTTCGTTCCTTCCTTCCTTCCTTCCTTCCTTCCTTCCTTCCTTCCTGCCTTCCTGCCTTCCTGCCT